CAGTCCACATTGTGAGTTTTCTTGGAAATTAACTATTTTAAATATACATTGTCAGAAATATAATTTCACAAGACATGGTGGGTTGCTGGCCCCCAACTGTTAATTTATCACACAAGTATAGAAAATGCTACTATTTGATGTTGAGCCCCTCAACATACCTTTAAAACCATGCCCTTCGAAAGCAAAATCGGAAGGTAATACCAGAATCAGCCTGGGTTCCCAGCATGTTTGAAACGTCATTAGGAGCTTTGTTTCTTCCTGGCCTTGTCTTCAGTGGAGCAAGGCACTTTTTGTGGTGTGGTCATTAATTTAATGAGAAAAGAACCTTTTGAGGGAGTCTGTAACTAATCCTGTGTCTCAATACAGTTTGTAGTGGGAGTGTAGACTCTCAGCAGTTGGGGTTCAATCCTGCTCTCTCAAGGGTCCCATTCCAGCCTGCTACTTAACTGTTTCTGCTGGCCTTTTTTATTCCAACCTGGTTTTTATACAGTTTCCCCCTATTGTAAAAGGTTAAAATTAGACTGATCTGAACTTGACAATCATACTCTTAGCTCCCAGTTAAAATAAGACCAGCAATAAGAGCTTTAAACTCAAATATGTTGGTTTTGGCCCTGGCTCTTTTACCTTCAGCCCCGTCTACCCCTGGAATGTGATCCCAGAGACGCCTATGAAACAAGAGTTTAGTCTTTGGGCTAAAAGAGGTTTGGCACCCCTTCTTTGCCCTGTAAGGGTGAATTCTCAAAGTGGATACTCCAAAGGCGAAAGCATTTGTAGAAGGACCTTAGTGGATATATCCTCTGGTGTTTTTCAAGTATTGTAGATACATATTCACATTACTACAAGCTTGGGAGCTCATCCAAGTTACTATGAAGAGATACACAGTCATGGAGAAAAATATGTCTGTGGTTATTGTTGCATGGTAACATACAGCCTACAATCATTTTGTCTCCAGCTTTGCGTCACTTTTATTTCTGCTTCTTCTTTAGACGTAGCAAGCAAGGGTTTATTTAGCAAGCAAGAGGCTGCCACAAATACTTCAGAATCTAGCCATGTTTTGATGGGCCGCTTCATCAGGAAAGTGCTGAAGAGCAGGGAAATTTTGCTGTAGTAGCTGGTTTTCTCTTTTTCTGGTGTTGCTGAAACAACTTCATGTTGGTCCAAATTGAATGTGATCCTGATTGTGAGCCTCCAAATCGCAACTGTCGCTGACGTCTTCCTGCACAGGATTTCTCCTAGACATCTGATGAACTAAAGGAGCAATGGCAGATTGCAGGGTTGCTCTGTGAGACTGTTAACTTGACTGTAAATCCAGAATGAGAGCTGAGCGGTAGTGTGGTGCTATCAGTAGTGTGGCGGCATTCAGAGAGTTTAGTTACGGGATGCAGCATCCAAACCCAGTAAGAAATGTGCTGAAATGGACAGATAGAATTTGCATATCATGGCCAAGGCATAAAAGCACCATTAACTTCTTCTGGATCACAAGGAAATTCATCTCCACTTGTGGATGGGTGCATTTTGAGGCTGAACGGAGATTACGTGTAGCACACAGATGGACATTGTGGTCTGTGCAAACAATCAGACGGAATGAAACAAGCAAGGAGTCAAATCTACTGCATTGCAGCAGAAACTTCTCCCCCAGGATGGCCACCAGGTGAGAGGGATCAAGACTGGACGAAGAGAACTGGAAGGGGCCATGGAAAATGAGAGGTTGGCAAGAGGCAGCTTAGAGCAGTTTTATGTGTGATGGACACTGGGAGTATCTTTAAGGCTGGAGACAAGTGGTTGAGTTTTGTTGCTGTTGTTTAACATAACAAAGAGACGTAGAGCACATACTGCGTTCAGTCAACCCTCTTTTGGAAGCCCACAAATCCTGTTTGAGCAGAGGCTAAAAGTGGGCCAGCAGAAATGTGCTGTTATGGCCTGGGAAACTACTTAACTTAAAAACTATCCATTTGCCTCCAGCTTAAATTCAGAATGGGGTCACTTGTGAGTATCTATAAAATGAGATTAAAAAGTTTAAGAGCCCCCTCCTTTGAAATGGGATATGTTACCATGTCAGTGTGGTCTTTTCATTCAATTTATGGGCATGGAAAAACAACAATACAAAATTTGTTGTTGGCATCATGTAAGCCCGTGTTGATAGAAACCAAACAATGTGCTTTCTGCTCTGTAGGAGTAAGACTATTGTAAGTGATGTCTGACTTTTGAAACAAAATCTGTAATAGCAGTAGGCAACCCAGCTGGACTTAATTAAAATGCCATCTCAACCTCTGGGAGCTATCTGTGTGAACTTAGAGCACACTGGAGGGGAGGAAGCAAATTACATCTTTGGATTTAACCCTGCATCTCCTAATTCTCTGTTCATGAAAGACATATCAGCTGAGGCACAATAGAAGCTCCTGGGATGAGAATCCCATCTGTAACATCACTGATATTGAGCCTAGAAAGACGGTGGGAAAATGTCCGCAAAGGCTCCGTCAGGTGGAAATATGGAAGTGAGAGAGGGCTGCTTGATAAGGTCAGAGGTGTGTGGTGAGGGCATGATCTGAAAACTTGCTCACCTGCATTGTGTTCCTTGTGAACCAGGGCTATGTGATTGCTCCAATACTGATCATTAATTGATAACTGGTTGTTGTGTGTGGAGGTTGCATGAAACCATCATGGCTCAGAGCTGTGGACAGAGCCATCTTACTTTCAAAACATCCAGCTGTGGGCAACCTTCTACCCTCCAGATGTTTAGGAGTGCAGTTTCTATCAAGTTCTTGCTGCATGATCAATGGTCAGGACAAGAGAAGTGGTGAAGCACATGCTTTGCATTTTGGAGACCCCAGGTGCAGCCCCCAGTGTCTCAGGGTAGGGCTGGGATAACTCTTGCCTGAAACCTCAGTCAGTTTGGACAATACCTGGCTGGTTGGGCCAATAGTCTGACTCAGTATAAGGCAGCTGGAAGACAACTGGCTGGGAACGGTTGCTGGATAATATCCTTTTTCATAGATAGGGTGACAAGAAATTTATACAGTAGTTGGCTTCACTGTAGGTATGATAATGGTAGTCTTCCCCCGCATCAATTTCTTTTCTAATAATTCCTAGGCTGGCATTTGTCTTTTCCATAGCTGTGGCACCTTGAATTGATATTTTCCTTGGTGTCTCTACCATGACTCCAAGATCTCGTTCCCAAGCAGGGGCCTCTGATTCAGATCTCCTTCAGTGCATGACATAATAACTGCCCATATAATATTTCAGTGTTTTTTTTTAAAAAGAACTATCTTTTTCTATATATCACGGGATGTTTGTGCACTGGCTGGTTGGTGGAATGAGATTTGCCAATTTTAATTCATGTGGTAAAGGAGCCTCGTCAGTGTCATTTTCATGATTTTGATTGCAGAAGCTAAACTGTTAAGTAAAGTTCAGTCTCCAGCACAGGCCGGAGGCTGCCTTAAGCCAGGCCAGACTGCATGTCACGCTAGCCCAGTAATATGCATTTTAATTGGTAGTTGCTCTCCAGGGTCTCTAGCAGACAAGGGTTTTTCCCCATCTTGGTTTATCTAACTCTTTTAACTGCAGATCTTGCAAGGTGTTCCTGGAACTTTTCACCATGTAGAGCATGTTCTGTGACAGTGCTGAAGTGCAGCCTTTCCTGAGAACACACCTCTAAAAGTCCCTTTTCAAAAACAAACAAAAATGTTGCTGCAGGAATCGCAGGTGATCTGACCAAAGGAAAAGGAAGCAATCAGAGTCCGGCTTATGTATTCCTTTATTTCAGAGGATTTCGGTACCAGTTTTCGTTTTAAAAAATTTCCAAAGCCATTCACAAGATAAAATCTTGAAAAAATACAATTAGAGCAATAATTAAAACTGTATAACTGCAATAAAACAGCATCTTATTAAAATAACCAGGGATAGTTGACATTGCTAACAGTAAAGTGCTTCTTGGGAGTTGGAAGAGCAGGAAACAGCTGTGGGAAACTACCAAGGTTAGAAAGAATCGCCATTTATTTTCTTCTTTAAGAGAATTTCTATACTGCTTTTCTTTATTAAAATAAATAAGTAGATCCCTAAGTGTTTCACATGATAAAATTCAATAAAACCAATTGTACAGATAATAAAACAGTGATTAAACTAATAAAATATCATTAAAATAGCCAGCTAACTCTGCTTGTGGTCAAGGAAATACCAGGGCAAATAATAATACCAGGTCTTCAATTGCCTTTGAAGCTCGCCACACCAGGATCCTGCCTGATCTCAATGGGGAAGTCATTCCACATGGCCACCACCTCAGCTGGAAAGGCCCTCTTCTGTATCATGGCCAAATGAGCTTCAATAAGCCGGTGTTTGGAAAGCAAGGAACTTAGGTGGCTGATAGAGGAAAATCATATGGACTACAGGATCATTGTGAATATATTTTTAGTATTCATTGTTTGGCAACATTGTTCAGGCATAATTCCTAACCTTCACAAAACATGGAATTTGGGCCTGAGGCTTTTATATGGAGGAAGACCATCTAGCCCAGTATGGTCGGCATTGATGGACTGCAGTCTTCCAGGTTTCAGGCAACAGTCTTTCCTAACTCCATTTGGAGTTCTTGAGGGCTAAGACTAAGAACCTTTAGTGTGCAAAGCCTTTTTCTAACAACTGTTATGGCCTTTTCTCAAACTGGGTACCTCCCTCTCTCCCTTTCTTGCTCTCTCTCCATAAAGCACTTTTACTGGGCAGGTCCATAAATGACAAACACCAGTTATTATCTCAAGGATCCAGGTGTAACACTCATGATACATCTCACAATATGTAATCATTACCTAGCTTCTCACCTGTCAGTAGCTTTCACAAATACTGCTTAGGGATCAAAGGCTTGAAAACACATGAGCTCCATTGGCTATGGCATGTCTCCTGACCTGTGGGGCAGAACGAAAGTTTTGAGCAACATAAGGTTTTTCTCAGCAGACCTGAAATGACTGAGTGCTCTCAATCTCTCTTGCTCTCTTTCTCTTTCACTCTTGCAGTTCTCAAAGGAGAGAAATATGGAGCAACAAGTTATGGAAAATTCCCCAGAAAAACTGAAGAAAGAACTGGAAGAAGAGCTGCAGATGAGTGGTGAAGATTTGCGCAGTCATGCCTGGTATCACGGACGAATTCCACGACAGGTGCGTCCTCTCTTGGCCTTTGCCAGCATTTTTATGGCTAGCTGATTCTTGGTTGCTAAACTCACCTATGTTGCAGTTTCATTGTGAGTCTATCAGCCTCCTTTTTTCAGCAAACTGGTGGAATGCTTCTATGTATGCAAAGGTTCAAACCAAGCATCTATTCAGGAAAACAATGAGAAAACACTTGAGTGTGTTATTCTGGGAGGAGGATTGTTTAAGGACAGGAAACCCAGACGTTTATCCCTTCCTGACTCTGAGCGTAAAGCAAAACGTGAGTGCTGACATGGATACAGGTCAGTGTATCGGTTGCCCATTTGGAGCAGTGGTGATACAGAGGAGGGGGCATGTAAGATCCCAGTATTGCTTTCCCTGTCAATATTCCTCAGCCTGTTGCTTTATCTAGGAAAATATGTTCCCAATGAGATATGCCAGAACCCTTATTTGGTAGCATACCCCAATCTACTCTCACTCTGTGTGACTAGTATAGTTAGTTTCTGGGCCCTGTTATACCACCACCGAGAGCTACAAACTTCTCTGTGACCTGTGTTTACATTTCTGTAGTTGGGAGTATAGCCAGGCATTCAGAGTTTTGGCAGGGTTGCCACATAAGGACTGAATCCACTCCCTGGCACAGAATTTTGCATTCCAGCCTATTTTGAAAATCCCAGCTTTCTCAAGGAAAGCAACAACAAGCAAGTTTCCAATTCTTGCTTGTTCCTTTATTGTTCTAGGCCAGCTCTTTCCTGGAGAGAGAATTACAAATTTTTTGACAACCTGCATAAGTAAATGCTGGATGTTTCTTAAAGGATAAACTAAGATTATCTAACTTGGATAATTTATTCTGGGTTGGATCTAGTGCTATCATTCTGCAGACAGAATTGATTCTATCGGCAGAACCAAGATAAGATGAACTTCTCCCTCCGAGTGCATGACATGAATCTTCTAGTAGCTAAATTCTTATTTTTAATTTTGTAAACCACAGAATACACATGGCTCTGGCCACAAAAATGGCTTGATTCCAACTGAAAGTGGCAGCATGCTTATTCTAAAACTGAGTAAATATGAATGATGCTGTAGTGGTCACCTTTAAAAATGTGGATGTGGGAAGCCAGTTAAGGCATTAGGCAACACTTGTATGGAATTTCTTGCTTCTGTTCTTGTGTCTTTCACTCTCATCATTGACAGAATGAGATTTCGCACATCCCCAGGCTGTCATGTTATTTGTGCTAATTCCTATTAACACTAATAATGAGTTAGCACATTGTGAATCAGTAGAATTCCACCCGTCCAAAAAATGAATAACTAGTCCACAAGTCTACTGAATCTGCATAACTCAGAAAATGTTGATCCATTGTTGAATCAGCAAATTCAAATAATAGAAATCCAGATTTTGTAAACTGTTTTGAGGACATTATGCTAATCAAATGATATAGAAATGCTTTTTTCCTTCTTGTAAGCTGTCCTGAGATGCTTATAGTGGATGGCCTATCAAAGCTTTAAATAGATAGATAGATAGATAGATAGATAGATAGGTTTCAGTCCCTGCAGTAGCATGGAATTGCAGGGACGGTTTCAAGAAGGATAAACCTGAGAATGATCTGAGGTTAGTGAGGGGTGCAAATGAAAGACTGAGGAAAGAAATGTTGGTTCAGCTACTCAGTGAGGATAGCAAATGATAAAAGAAGACAAAGGCGGAAGTGTGCAATTGCTACTTTTTTTCCTAAAAGAGGGTCTATGGTCTCCCTGTACAGGCTGAAGAGGCAAGACTGCAGCATGAGATGGTTAGGCAAATGGTCGAGGAACACCTAATTGCGTTGAGAGAGTTCAACTCTCCAGGGCCCGATGAACTGCATGCTAGAGTAATAAAGGAAGGAACTCTCAGAACCACTGTCTATAATCCTTGAGAAATCAGGGAGAATGGGTGAATTGATGACTGGGAAACGGCTAATGTTGCCCCTTCCATCAAAAAGCGGGGAAAGAAGGAACCTTGGAACTACAGACCAGTCAGTCTGACATCATTTCCTGGGAAATTGTGGTGTAGATTATAAAGCAGTCAGTCTGTAAATGCCTTGAAAGCAATACAGTGATTACTAGAAGCTGGTGTGATTGGTCAAGAACGAACCCTGCTATATCTCATTTTTTTGACCTGGTAGAATTTGTGGACCATGAGATTGCTGTGGACATGACATATTTTAACTTAAGCAAAACTTTTGACAAAATGCTCCATGGTTACTAATGTATCCTGATTAGTAAACTAGCAAAAAGTAGTCTAAATGAAACAACAGTCAAGAATCCACAGTTGCCTACAGATTTGGACTCAGAGTGCTTTATCAATGACACCTTCTCAAACTGGAGAGAAGTAACACATGAAGAACCTTTGTTTGGGGTTCAGTCCTGGCCCAGGGCTCGTCAACATTTTTATTACTGACTTGGATAAGGGGGTGCAGGAAATACTTAATTTGCAGATGACAAAAAGTTGGCAGGAATAGGTTGGAGTGCTGGTCTGAAAACAGCACATGAAATTTAATATTGAGAAATGGCATCTAGGAAAATGAAATCAAGTGCATAGTTACAAGATGGAGGATACAGAGTTCAGCAATACAGACATGAGAAGGTTCTTGGAATTGTTGCAGATCACAAGATGAACATAAGGTGGCAATGATGTGGATGCAAAAAGGGGCAACTGCTATTTTGGGCTGCATTAATCCCTCTGAAAGCACATGAAGTATCAGTTCCACTCCACTCAGCACTGGTTAGACTTCATCTTGAGTAGTGCATCCAGTTCTGGGCACGACAGTATAAGAAAGATGCAGGCAACCTGGAAAGGTTCAGAGGATGAGGACAAAGATGAAAGAATCTGGCATATTTGGCTTTGTGGGGAGATACATGATAACACTCTTCAAGTCCTGGAAAGCTTCTCACACAGAGGGGGGCTGTTCTCTCTCACCCTAGAGCAGTGGTGGCAAACCTATGTCACGCCTGCCACAGCAGGAGCGCTGAGCCCTCTCTGTCGGCATGCAAGCCAAGCAACCCAGCATCGCCCCAGCAGCCGAGCATTGGATAACAGCGCACGTAGGGGCCATGCGCATGCTCAGAAAGGAGTAGTGGCGCCAGGTGATGATGTCACAGCCACGACTCATTAGCCGCAACTCGTCTGAGCTTTTGCATGGCCGGTCAGTAGATGCTTGGATGGGCTATGGGTTATTTTTTCTAAATTAAAACCTCAGTTTACAAGTTTTATTGCAATGTTTGCACTTTGTGATGAATAAGTGGGTGTTGGGTTGCAGTTTGGGCACTCAGTTTCTAAAGGATTCACCATCACTGGGTTGGGGTTAGAAAAATAAGGTGTCCTGGATGATTTTGATGGTTGGAAAGTGTTTAGGATGGGCAGAAATGATGAGCAGTGCAGACATAGGTACTCAAGGAAGGCTTTTTCAACATTGCATTATTTTCAAAGGTATTTTATCCCTCTATTACTGTTAGGGGACTGCACCAGGTTAGGGTTAGAGGTTAGAAAGATGAGGTATCCTGGCATGGGTTTGATGGTTGGAATTTGTTTGGAATGGGCAGAAATGATGAGCAGTGCAGAAAAAGCTACTCAAGGAAGTCTTTTTCAAAATTGCCCTCTTTTCATTGGAACTTTAGCCCTATATTAGGGTTTAGGGGAGTGCACCAGGGTAGGTTAGGGTTAGAAAGATGAGCTGTCCTGCCATGGTTATTATGGTTGGAATGTGTTTGGAATGGGCAGAAATGATGAGTAGTGCAGAAAAGGCTACCGAAGGAAGGCTCTTTTAAAATCGCCCTCTTTTCAATGTTACTTTAGGCCTATGTAAGGGTTCGGGGAGTGCACGAGGGTAGGGTTAGGGTTAGAAAATGTGGTGTCCTGGCATGGTTTTGATGGTTGGAGTGTGTTTGGAATGGGCAGAAAAGATGAGCAGTGCAGAAAAAACTACTCAAGGAAGGCTTATTCAAAATTACATTATTTTCAAATGTATTTTATCCCTCTGTTTGGGTTAGGGGGTTGCACCAGGGCTGGTTTGGGTTTGGAAAGATGAGCTGTCCTGGCATGGTTATGATGGTGGGAATGTGTTTGAAACAGGCAGAATGATGAGCTGTGCAGAAAAAGCTGCTCAGGGAAGTCTATTCTTAAGAAACACCCTCTTTTCAATGGATTTTTGGTGCTATATTAGGGTTAGGGGAGTGCACCAGGGTAGTATTAGGGTTAGAAGAATGAGGTGTCCTGGTATGGTTATTATTGTTGGAATGTGTTTGGAATAGGCAGAAATGATGAGCAGTGCGGAAAATGATACTGAAGGAAAGCTTTTTCAAAACCGCCCTCTTTTCTATGGAACTTTAGCTCTATATTAGGTTGAAATTTTTTTTTTTTAGGTTGAAATCTAGGGTGGTGCACTTGTGTAGAGTTAGGGTTAGAAAGATGAGGTGTCCAGGCATGGTTTTGATGGTGGGCATGTGTTTGGAATGGGCAGAAATGATGAGCTGTGTAGGAAAAGCTCCTGAAGGAAGGCTTTTTCAAATTCTCCCTCTTTTTAATGGAACTTTAAGCCTATATTAGGGTTAGGGGAGTGCACTGGGGTAGCGGCAGGGCAGTGGTGGAGAACCTATGTCAAACATGGTACAGTGGGCATGCATAGCCCTCTCTATCGGCACACGAGCCAAGTCGCCATAGCATCGCCCCAGCAGCTGATGATCAGATATCAGCACACATCAGGGCTATGCGCATGCTCAGGAAACAGTCGTGGGGCCAGGCGATGATTTCACGAGCCACGGCTCATTAGCCACGACTCGTTCAAGGTTTCGCATGGCCGGTCAGTGCACTGCTAAGGATAGATAGATAGATAGATTTGCTTGTACTGGCTGTAAGGTGTTTTTTCTAACCAAAACCTCAGTTTTAAGGTTTTATTGTAGTGTTTGCACTTTTCGATAAATAGGTGGGTTTTGGGTTGCCCTTTGGGCACTTGATCTCTCAAAGGTTCGGCATCACTGCCCTTGGGTATAGGACATGGAATATCAGGCTCAGCGTGTGGTTTGAAGAAAGAACCATGTTGAAGCTAAGCTGGTCTGGGGCTGGCCTGAGCTTGGTGGGGAAACCCCCTGGGGACTGCAGGTAGCCACCTTGAGTTCCACAATGGAAGAAATATGGGATATAGATATAATAAATAGTAAGTTACAGGAAATCAGTTTCTGGCTGAACTTAAGGAAAAAACTACCTACCTGAATGTTAAGAGCAATATGGGAGTGAAATAGATTACCTGAGAAGATCATGGGCTTTCTCACATTGGAGGCATCCAAGATGGAGAGGGACAGCTGGTAGACAGAGAAGTGGGGAGACAGTTTTGACCCTGCCTGTTGCCAAAATTTGCCACTGGACAGAAAAAATAATTTGCCCACCTTAGGTCTCTGGTGCCTGTCATTCTGAGGGCTGGAGGTATTCTGAGCGGGCACTTTGAGGAGGAAATAGAACTGTTTTGTTTTTAAGTGTCTGTTTTTATGGATTTTTGTAAACTGTCCAGAGAGCTTCGGCTGTGGGGCAGCATAGAAATTGAAAACATGAATAAGGGTAGGAAAAAAATGAAAAACAACCACCATGGGAACCAAGCACAGCTGTGCGGACTGTTTGGGATGAGGAGGAGTGGCTTGAACCTTCCCACCCCTTTACTGTGGCCCTGATGAACACTAACCAGCTAATACAGGCAGAAAGCCATTTCATGAATGCCACAATAGGTTGAGTGGGAAGGTTCAAGCCCTTCCTTGTTACACCTTGTGGTCCTCAGAGTTGTGTATCCATTCAACTCTGGAACTCCCTGCTTCTTGATCGTCAGAAATGACTTCCTTTAAGTAAGATGATAATAACTTAAATTGGCAACTTCCATGTCCCATGGCAAGTTGGAGAAGGCTGATTTACACCATTCCATATACCATCACAGGCTTGCATCTTTCCAGGGCTAGGATGCTTAAAGTTCCTTGCATTTGGAACCCTTTGTTGGCTTGCACAGAGCAGTGTGCATTGTACCCTGGGAAGTTTCAGAAGAGCTTTTACATTCCAGAAGAGTCTTGTAGCAGCAGAAAAGGTTTTAGAGTGGTGCATGGATCTGGAGTTTATTGAGGCAAGAGTTCTCACAGGCAACAGCTTCCGGTATTAGCTGTGTTAGATGGATTGCAAACACAGCAGGCCTCCATGTCTGAGCTGCAAACAAAGTGAGCCAGGTGAATACTAAAGCTCACCAGATGCTTTCTGATTATCAATGCACTTCACAGTACAGTATGTCACAAAATCACAACCCCTGTTCGCATATTCTCAATAAGTAACAAATTTTGAAGGCTCACAGTCCGCGTGCACCCTCTAATTTGCAAAGTTTCCCCCTTAATTAAATCAAAGAAGGAATCTTTTGTTGATGGGGGACTGCCAAGTACACATTAGAATTTCCTCCTCCTATTTTTCTTGCAAGTAGCTCCTGAATCTAAAACACAAGACCTTGGCTTTGATTCCAAAAAGTTGTAAAGATCAGAACAAACTTTTCACCTTTGGTAGGCTATTTCTTGAATTCTACCTGTGCTTCTAGATAAATCAGAATTTGAGCAGACAAGAAGACATTTTTTTCACAAGATCCCAATAGAGCAGCTAAAATTGTCTGTGTTGGGCATTGAACTAAGGGCAATACCAGATGAGACAGAACAGCTGATTAAAGCTTGGTGGAGCATTTACATGGAAAAACTGGGCTATTGGTTGATAAATGCTCCAGAAAAGGAGAGAATGTGACTGAGCCAACTTTGCTGAACATTGGTGATGGACAGATTCTAGAACAAATCTTGGATATACTTTTTATCTCCCTTCCACAACCTGGATATTTATGTGTAAAAGATGTTTGGATTTAGTTGTATGTTTTTGTTTCCTAAAGAAGGAATGAGATAATGCAGAAGCTTTCAATAGAATAAACTAAGCAGCAGGAGTATCGGATAGCAACTAATCATATTTTGATCCAAACAGTCATCTTCTTTCTCCTCAAGGTTGCTGAGAGTCTGGTTCAGCGGGATGGAGATTTCTTGATTAGAGACTCTCTCTCCAGCCCTGGGAATTTTGTTCTTACCTGTCAGTGGAAAAACATCTCCCAGCACTTCAAGATCAATAAAACTGTTTTGAGACTCAACGAATCTTACTGTCGTGTCCAATACCACTTTGAGGATGAAAGTTTTGACAGCATCCCCGGCCTGGTTCGGTGCTATGTGGGAAACCGCAGGCGAATTTCAAAGCAGAGTGGAGCAATTATATTCCAGCCCATCAACAGGACCGTTCCGCTGAGGTGTCTGGAGGAAAAGTACAGTGTCTCTCCCATTCTACAAAGAGAGGGCAGTGTTACTGAGGGACAAGGAGAAACTCCCAAGAGACTGAGCCTTAATCTATGCAATCGGCAGGCTAGGGAGCAGAATTCAATCCGAGGAAACCTTTTAAGGTACTGTAACCTTGTTCCATGGGAAAGTGGAAAACTGGATCGTGCCTCAACTACATTATGTTTCTAAGGGCCGTGCGAACTGTGGTGCAAAAGATCTTTGCGTGGGTCTCTTGGCATCATTTTTAAAGCTTAAAAACAGTTCTGGGAAGCTTGATGTGGCCCAAATGGGTGGTTGGGCTCCTTAACCCGTTTTCCCTACTGGGTTCCCCAATCAAAAAACTGCTATTAGACTAACTGGGGGAGAGGGGGGGAGACTGGTGCCTCCACCTGCTAATTTTCTCCTCTGAGACAGTTTAGGAAGCCCCCCCACCCACCTCCCGTGCTGGAACTGAAGCCCGTGTATACATTTGTCCTCACAACAACCCAGTGAGGTAGGTTCTGCTAAGTGACTGGCTCAGGATCACCCAGTAAGCCACATGGCCGAGTGGAATTTGAACTCAAGCCTTTCCAGTCCCCATCCAACACTGTAACTACTGCACCAAGCTAGCTTTAGTTGAAGGCGCTTAGTTTTAACACAGTTACTTCAGGCTATTTTGGATCTGGCATGTTCTCATTAACAGAGACTGTAAAAAGACTAAAGACAGACTTTCCTTCTTGCAGCAGAGCCTCATTGCTATTCCAGATTTGAAAAGTGAGAACACTCCAGGCATCGCACTTGGCCTAGGTTTCGGCCTGTGTGTGCCTCGAGGGCAGATTCTTCTGCAACATCACTCAGAGATTGGGGGTCAGTGAATGATCAGGCCATAGCTGATGCTGATCCAGTAGTTTGATTTGAAGGAGGCAAAACCAGAGCTGCAGGCAGTTGTGCAGCTTCTGCCGTGGCCTAGTGGAGTGGTTGTCTCCACCAGGGGCATGTGAAATACTTTGCCTTAAAGGAACAGCTCCTAACAAAATACTGTCCCTAGAAAAATTAATTTCCCTCTAGCTACTGTGGCAGTTGTAGCTAATTTCAAGGGGAACAGAAAAGCCTAAGGGAGGTGGCAGATTGCATCACAAAAGTTCCTCGGCTTCGCTCTGCAAATCCTGGATCCCATATGCCTCTGGCCTGGAGATAAGCAAGCGGGTAGGGTGGGCAACGTCTTTGCATGTTTAGTGGCCGAGGAGCCAGGCGTAAATTGGACCCTCTTGCCAGCTGCTTCCTGTGATGTTAGTAGCTGCAGCACCACCCGCCGGCTGTTTCAGCGGTGGCACTGCGGCACAGTGGAGGGTAGGCAGACAGCCCTGGGAGTGATCTCAGAGTGAGTCAGACCGCTTGGTTTTCTTGCTAGAGGCCTTGATTTATCATACCTGCTAAGAAGTCCTGGCACTTTGACTCCATAAGCCTGGTGCCTTAGGACAGACGTAATTTCTCCTATTCCTTCTCCTGCAACCCCCACAGTCTGCAAACCAGGCTGGGATCTAGTTATCCTGAGGCTTCCAGAGGAGAGGAGAAGACCATGCCCCAAAATGAAGAGCTGAACTCTAAAAAAGTCTGAATTACATTTTGTGTCTCTTTTTTTTTCCTTCTTCTTCTAGAAACAAGGAAAAAAGTGGTAGCCACCCAGCATGTTTGGATCATGTGCAGGAAAAGAGATTCCCCCCGAAGGCTCAGTCAGAAAGCTATCTGCCAATAGGTATGTCAGGCATGGATCAAGAGTAAATGTGAACTGAATTCCATTAGTGGACTGGCTGAATGCTCTGCAGAACGTGTAGGACATGGGTGTACAGATCTCAGGGCCTCGCTCTTGTTTTTGTGCTGCGTGTGTTTGGAGAAACCAAAGGAGAGATGAAAGGGTGGGACCTGGTTTTGCCTCACCTCTCTGGAGGATGAGGGGCTTCCTTGCACACACACGTGCGCTCCCTCTCTCTCTCCCTCTCTCTCTCTCCCTCTCTCCCCCTCTCCCCCCCCTCTCTCTCACACACACACACACAGAGTGAGTGAGAGAGAGAGAGAGAGAGATTGATTCAGTCAGTCAGTCAGTCAGTCAGCCAGGGAGAGCTTTGCTTCTCAAGTGCCAGGCTTTGTATGTGCCTCAAAGTCCCCCTAGGTGTCCCCTGCCCCGCAGGTGTTTCCATGCCCCTGCCATGCCTCCTCGTGTGCTCAGGTTCCCTGCTTCAGCCAGTGTTCTTCCGCGCAGAATGCGGGGCCCTCCCGGTGAGACACAAGCCCTTGTTTTGGTTCTGCCCATCAGATTCAGTTACAAACCAGCTCCTATTCTAAGCCCTGGAGATTTTCCACCTCTGACTGCACAGCCTGTAATATCATCACACTCACCACAGATTGATGTGACAGTGCAGCTGCTTTGTATTTCTGGGATTTTCGACGGGAGGATCGACACAGTGCTGGAGTTTGCTGCTGAACGGTCTCTAAACCGAAGTACGTGGCATGGGGAAGAATTTGTGTGATCTGGAACGTTTTAGCCCAGGAAATAATGGCCATCTGAGAATGCTCCAGCAGCGGCGGATGGGGCCGGTTCACTCATTCAGTTCAGATGTGAACAGGCTTTGTGGGGGAAGGGCTTGTGGGGTGTTGTGCGTGTTGCCGAGGGAGGGGTGCCCTGGAAAGCCATTTCTTTCCTTCTTCCACATTAGCTTGTGCTGCTCCAGGGCATTGCAGAAAATGACAGGTATTGGGATACTTCATAGGAACATAGGAAGCTTCCTCATCGGTTGGTCCATCGAGCCCAGAGGTGCTGGCACTGACTGTCGGCAGCTGAGCTCCAGGGTGTCAGCCAGAGTTCTTTCCTAGCCGTACCTGGAGATTTGAGGAATCAAATGCAAACTGTCCGCTGAGCCAGGCCTTTTCATATATCCTCACTAAGCCTTCCTCCCCAGGTATGCAGTGCCCAGGTGGTGAGCACATGGCAACATGCAGAGAAGAAAAGAGGGCTGGGGACAGGGAAAGATGCATTCTTCTTATTATTGTGCTGCATTTATATCCCACCTTTCTTTCTCTTGCAAGGAACCCATGGCGACTTACAGATTTCTTCTCCTCTCCATTTTCTCCTTCCTATAGCACTGTGAGGCAGGTTGGGCTAAGAGACTCTGACTAGCCCACAGTCTCATGGCTGAGTGGGGACCAGACCCCAGCTTCCATCTAGTACTCTTAACCAGAACAGCATACGGGTCGTCATGGCCATATTCTCTGAGAAACAGAAAGAGGACAACTGGGGCCTGCAACAAAATGTTGCAGTGTAACATGCCACTATTAAGGATTCCAGCCACTCCAGCCCTTCTCACAGACACTCCGTTCCGTCTCCACTCTCCCTGATATTTCACTGGCTTGTCAAAAGTTGACCCGCATTCTGTGACCACTGAGCCTGGTCAGTTCTCTTTTAACTGGGTTTCCCCCCTTCACTCCTAGAAGTTTTTTTCCCTATTTTTTCCTTTTCCTTGGACTTCTGCAGACCTATTGGGTTTCATGAGCCTGCTGATATCAAACTCTTGTGCATGAATTTGACTGTATAAGAATCGGCCTATATAAGAATTGGCCTATTCTTGTGCATGAATTTGAGAATTTAAGAATTGGCCTATTATAATGAGATCACAGTTCATTCATCGCACTACTCTCACTTCCTTATCAGGAAAGCACCATCTTCTTGGCACCCTTGCCTGCCTCACATGGTCTCTCTATTTATTCCAGTGTCTGAGCTGCTTTACAAAATTATATAGGAAAAAGAAGAAAAAAAAAAAACACAGTCCCCTGCCCCAATGAGCTGACAATCAAAATGTAACACCAATGGAGATGACAGTAGGGGGAAGGACTGGCAAATGCAATTGGCATGTACATGTCCTTGCCTCCTCGTTGAAGTAAAGATCTTTGGGCCATAGCTTATGGGCCAGTGCATGCATTGCTTCAATTTCTGGAAGTTGAAATTATCTTATAAAAACATTATCCTCCGGCTAGATCACAGGGTGCCTGAGAGATCACCTTTTCCATTTAGGTCGTGCTGTGTTCTAAGGGAGAGACCTTGCTTACTGCACTCCAGCCCATGGAGGTTTGTTTGGTTGTGGTGCAGAAGAGAGTTTTCTCGGCTGTTTAACGTTTGCGTATCTGCTCCCTGTTTTATTCTCCAGGTTCAAGGTATCCATCTCAGGGAACTGAAAGTGAAACTAGTCCTTCTCCAAAGTCACCAGCATTCCGAACAGGCAGTGAACCTGCTCTGAGTCCCCTGGTCTTCCAGAGATTCGCCTCTGAATTGCAAGTCAGCGATATTCTCCGGGGTTCCGACAGCCAGCTGTACCCCAAGCCACCCCCCAAGCCAAGCAAAGTGCCCTTTTTGAGACCCACACACAGCTCAGAGAGCCCATATTGCGAACTGAACACGGCCATTCCCACAGACAGCCAGGGGGCAAAGCAACCTTTGTGTGCGAAGAACAGCTTTGTCGAGCATCTTACAACACACGAGAACGGGACCCATTCATCCAGGGATTCCGAAATGAGCTACTTGATTCTGGACGACCATGGTTCTCTGCTGAGCTCGGTGGATCCTCTTGCAGCCCAGACAGAGATGAGCAAAGAGAGCAGCGTCTTTGTTGCACCAGTTCTCGAGATGGTCTCTGGTTTCAGGCCGAATGATTTTGAGTCAAAACTCCTTCCCCTGGAAAACAAGCCCTTGGAGACAGCAATGTTGAAAAGAGTGAAGGAAGTGTTCACTAACAACCATGCCAAGGTCATTGCTCAGCATATACTTAAGATGGACTGCAAGGTAAAGCTCTGCTTCTTTCAGAAATTGTACTAAATGGAAATGATTATAAAGGCCTTTAAAAAAGGCCTTGTTTGATTACATCCAGCAATGCACCTAACCTGTTCTCACCAGAATCAAGTGTCCTTGGGTGTTCAGCTACAATAGGGTGTGCATTTCTATAATATAATACATTTTGTATCCCACCTTTTCCCTCTTGCAAGGAAGCCAAGGTGGTTTACAAAGCTGTCCTCTCCATTTTATCATCATCATAACCCTGTGGTTGACCCACAGTGGGCAAGTGAGGAGAAGAACCCAGGTCCCAAAGACCCAGCCCAGCACTCTGACACTTCCGCTCACTGGTTTGTAATTATGTATTCAGCACATTTCATTAACATCCTTGGTACAATCTGTAATAAGCATGTGATGTGTAATAAGCATGTGATATGCTTGCCAAATTAAAGCAGATCAAAGCTAGGGGATCTGACAGAACTCATCCAGAAGGAATTCTTATTCTCACTGGGCCGATGGATTCCAGCTCGCCTTTCTGGACAGATGACTCACTGCACGTACGAGCAAAAGGGTTACTGGTTGAAGCATCTTGGTGGAAAGTTGGTACTGACCCAATTTCCATGGAACCCCAGCAGACCTTGGGTTAACTGATCAACACTTTACTGGGGTTGCATGCTTTCACCATTTTGAATATTCAGCTTCTTATCAGTCTGATTGAAGGTTATTTTATGAAGTGTGAATCCAGATATTATGATTATTTGTGGGTTAAGCAACCAACAGTCAACCTATGCTTAGTTAATAGGTTAACTTGTGAGTTATTTAACCCGCAGTTAAGCTGTAGTGTCCAGGAAATGTCCTTCAGTCAGTTTGATCAGATTCAAAATGGAGGTGGCACATATGGGGTGAAGTCCACAGTTTGCCACTCTTTTGTGCAAACAGGTTATGACTGTAGGGTTTGGATTACGTGGCTGCTGGGGTCCTTCCCTGAGCTCAGATTCTCTGGGCATAATGGGCATTACTTTAGATATGTATCTAGCAGCAGCCTTTCCTTTTTTATACTGCAGTTGGTGGGAGGTGATGATCCTGATCTTTAATACCCTTTTACCCTGTGCTAGGGTCCTGATCCAGATTGGGAGCAAATAATCTAGAGTTAAGCTGGAAAAATGACTTAGCTGCTAGAATCACATTTAAAGTAGTGTCTGTTCTGGCCCTTAGAAAGATAGAATGGCACAAAATGAAGAGATAGCAGTCATGGGGGTCTGCTTCTGGTAAAGCGTCTGGAAATACTCAGGACCTTGCAATTTCAGGACAGGGTTAAGAGCTTGACAGTACTATATAAGTATAGATTCTTCTTGGTATATTTCTTCTTGGTTTATGGATTGTTCATTAGTTTTGGTAAAAGACCAGATGGCTTTAGGCACTGGGTGCTTTTGGTCCATGGCATTTGATAGCAAGGGAATTCATAACGAGATGGACTCAAGGTACCCAGGTCTGTGATTCTTTGCATGTGAACTCCACCCTATAGAAGAGCTGCCTTTGAAATATATGGAGCTATTGATTCTTTTGGCAATAAAAGGTTTGGATTTTCCTGGCAGAGAATTTTTTGTGCATAAACACTGGCAATTTAAGCAGGATGGTTTTGCAGGGGTTGGTGTTCTTCGTATTAGTGTGTTTCACCGTGTTTCTGTTCATTTTCATTCTGTGTTTTAATGAGGACATTTTTAATTCAGATGTTGTTATTACCTGCCTTTAGTGTCAAGTTTTTAGGCAGAAAGACAGGATATGAATTGATAAATGCGACATCACTAGAAATATTGTTGGGCGTTTACTCATACCTTTTAGAAAACAATAAGGCACAGACTTTGCCTTGTACCTAAAGCATAAGTGAGGAAAGCAGATAACAAGAGCAAGCAGATGTGTTGAAGTACATCATCTGCAAGTCCCAAAACATCACTGTCAGGGATTATGGGGGTTGTAGTCCGAAATATCTGGAGGGCACTAGGCTGCCTTCCTCTGAATCAAGGCCTGATCAAGGTGAACTGCAGCAGTTGCTTGTGATATACCCAGCAACGTATCCTGAGAGTGGCTGTTGGTGCTGATGTTGTTTAACATTTCCAGAATCAGGTTTATTTCCACAGCAATCAACTTGCTTTTGCAGGGGACCCCACAAGCCAGTCATCTACTATGCGGATACATTTTTAATCTCAGCTTACTAGCTGGATCAAAATTGGAGGCTGGACAACTCCAAACTGCTGTGATATCTTGTGTGTCTCATCTCATGGTTAGAAGCTGGTGAAGCCAGCCTTTAAAAGCAAAATGGGGTTGCGTGCCTTAAAAGCCATTTTCCCTTTCATGGCAATTTCCTGTTCCAATCACTCTGAAGCCCTTCTTAGTCACCTCCCAAGGGTCAAATGGCATTCTCTCCCTGCAGCAGGCTCTCTGCTTCGGCTGACATCAGTTCAATGACACCCTTCCAACACTTCCCCCAAAGCTATTACGGCTTGTTAGAATCAACAGCCTCTTTGAGGACTGTGTAAATTAAGTGGGCATCAGCTGTGGTCCATTGCTCTGGGAGCGAGAGAGCCTTTCTCTAGCACTCTTCCTCATTACTTAAGAGCACTCCACTCGGAGAGCTTTATCTAGATTTATGTTCCGTTTCAACCAGGCACTAAAGGAATGGCCTGTTTCCTGACATCATGTTCACTGTGGTCACAGGAGGGCTCTCCGGATGAGACCACTTAAGCCAAACAGCCTGTTTGGGCCCCTTGTTAAGGGAAGGAAGATTATGTTACCAGCGATGCATTGTGCCACCTGCCTGCAGCCCAGAGGGGCTGAGGGTACCTAATGAGGCTGATGTCGGATATGTAGATAATGCTGTAAACTACGGCTGCTGTTGTAGCTCATAAGGATGGTTGATGGAGATTGTAAAATGTACCAGCTACCTTTCCTCTATAAAGAATGTAATGGTGCCGTAGGCCTGCTCTTGCACGCAATCCTTGGGAGATGGGGATGGGGACCAGGCCACTGGATGTCACAAAGGACCACCATTCTTCATTGCCATTGTCTTCTTCCGCTTCTTCACACATTTATTTATTTATTTATTTCACTTACTGTATCTTAAAAAAATCTCTAAGAATGTAATCCGGTGTGTGTTTAGACAGGAAAAGAGTCCTACCACTCTCAACATTCCCCACTATGAATAAGTGACTGGATCTTTTAGGGTTTTTTTCTGTATAAGCATGCATAGGAGTGCACTGTAAGTGGTTTGCATGAAGATGAAACCTGCATAGGTGACTTCCAATGTTTGTACAAATCAGAGTAATATGCAGGCTGGAAGGGAAGGTTTTAGATGCACCTGCATCTTCCAGCACATCCCTCTCGTGAGGAGTTGCATCCTCCTGACTTGGTTGGGTGAATGGGTGAGATTCAATTTGTATGCAGTATCGGACTGCATCCGGAATTCACCCTGTGAACTTGTTGACATTTCCCCCTTTCTTCTGCAGCTCCATATGGTCGCACAAATTTGCAAACATTGCCGCCGCCACCCCTCCTTCTGGTGGGGAGTCCCCACTGGATCTCAGTTCCTTCTGTGATCAGAAGGAACCCATCCCTTTGCAGAGGGGCAAATCTGCATCTGACCCAGAATTCCTGCCAGAGGAAAAAAGCCTGGGTCCAGTTTAGTGTCATGGGTTAAAGTATGTGGCAAGATGATGAAAGGAGCAAGAGAGCAATGCTACAAGAATCCAGAAAGGAGGGCCCAGGTTGCCCCAAAAGTGCCCTTGAAGCCATTGATTGACCCATGCCTTTCAAAGGAGGTGATTCTTTTAGGGTTTGAGGGGGCGGAGGAACAGTTGAATCAAGACAGCTGTTGGTATCAAAAACAATTCTGTATGCAGCCATGGTGAATTGGATTTGCTTGCTCTGAAAGAGCAGCCTGCTGGACTCCTTCAGCAACTGCATGCAGGACACTTCCTGAAGCATCCCCTTTCTTTGTCCCTGTATTTAGCTGATCGCAATGTGCTGTGCGGATTTCTGTTGGAGAATACTAAGCGTTCCTGAACAGATATATTCTGCATCTGAATAATTAACCTTTCCATTTGATCTTTACAAGCCCATGGGATGCTGCCTTTCTGAGCTTACGTTTTCTCTGCTTTCCTTTCTCTCCATCACTCTATTAAATCAGGCAAGCTTCCAGTGGGTTGGTGGTGATGCTTGCATGCCACAGTACATCACAAAATTCAAAGGCAGTTTTCACAAAACTCATGGAGGTCTCTCTTCCAAGCATTGGCCCAGTATTTAGCTTCAGTGAGCTTAGAATCATAGGATAGTACAGTTTGAAGGGGGCAAAGAAGGCCATTGGGTGCAACCCCCTGCTGTTGCAGGACACCATGTTACACCATCCCACTCAGATGGCTGTCCAGTTCCTTTTGGAATGTCTCTAGTGTGGGAGAGCCCACCACCTCTCTGGGCAGCTGGTTCCACAGTTGTATTACTCCGACAGAGAGGAAGATGTCTAGCCTGAGTGTGGGTTGTTGCAGCTTGAATTGATAATTCCATGTCCTACACTCTAGTATGAGCAAGAAGAGATCTTGCCCTTCTTTGTAACAGTCTCTGAGGTACTTACAGAGTGATACCATGTCCCCCCTCAGTCTACTCTTCTCAAGGCTGAACATGCCCAATTCTCTCAGTCTCTCCCCATAGGGCAGTGTTTCCAAACCCTGAATCATTTTTGATGCCCTCCTTTGGACTCTTTCTAATTTGCCTTGCATCTTTCTTCAATCTTGGTACCCAGAACTGGACACGCAATTCCAGATGAGGTCTGAGTAGTGATGAGTATAAAAGAACTACTACTTCTCATGATTTGGAAGTAATGCTTCTGTTATGCATCTCAAAATAGCATTTGCTCTTTTGGCAGCTGCATCGCATTGTTGGCTTGCTGCATTATGTGCCGGTAGACCAGCTTTCTCCACCTGGGTACCCTCTAGAAGCCAATGGCAACACAGACTGGAATGCAGGCGATGTACTGCATCTTAGAGGCACCTTGCTGAGCGAGTCTGCATTAGTTCATATCCTAGGAATGCTTCCTAGGATTATTTAGCAGCAATTGATCTCCCGAACAGTTGTGCTCAAATGAGCAAGATTTGTTAGCAACAGTTTTTCAACATACTAGTTTCACCAAGGTGCAGCTAAATTGTGGGAAATAGAAAGCTAGGAACTCGTTTAATTCTACTGAGTTATGTTTATCTCACAGTAACCAATTCAATTGTAAATTTCATTTAAATTATATAAATTAGAACAGTTTTACCTTACATTATGAAAATGCAGTTTGAACTAAGTGGGTTCTCTCCTTTAGTTGCATATATACCCAGTTCTGCTACTGCTTTTGGAAAACGTTAAACATTGTATCGAAAAGGGTTCACGCTTCCTTAAGAAAGGAACCATGGTCTCAGAAAGTTTTTTGCATCCCAGCAAATGCTTTGAAAGAAAACTGACTGGTATCATCTTTGTAAAACAAGTATTAAGGCTTTGTAGGCTGGGGAAGATGCGGGGAAGGCAAGTGTCAGATTGCCAGTTGACAAGGAGGGGAAGCTTGTACTTTTTGCAATAACAATATATTGCCCAGAAAGAACAGGGACCAATTCCACCCCCTTCCCTGCACCTCTTTGCAGAAAGAACACCTGTCAAACTTTGTAGTTAAGAACTTTCTTGAGTTTGCTTTTACTTCTTCCCAATCACTTTTCCTTTGGTGTCATGCCTTTTAAATCAGCTGCGGGCAGAAGATAAGATTTGAATTTGCTGATTTGCAGTAGATCTGCAAGGATTTCTGATTCCCAGTTGTTTAACAATAACAGTAACAAAATGGTTCCACTTCCGTTTTGTACATTATATTCTTGAAATGGAAGAAAGTGAGGAGGCCTGTGAGCTGGGAGCAGATCAAGTTCCTTGGGTCAACCCCAGCAGCAAAGTGGCTCTTTCCTTTTTATTTTTTTCTTTGTTTTTTGAGCTAAGGTTTGGGGTGACTATTTGTTTAGAAGGACAATGAGCTCAGTTCAGTGCTGGGACTCTAAAGTATTTCCTGGCTTTGGAATTCTTTAATTCTATGTCTTTTGCCCCCAGCTGGTGAATCTCAGGATTCTTTTTTTAAATCTGAAATGTGCCCACCTATTCTTGAGTGTAAGCCTGAAGGCTGGGAATCTAGTATTATTGACCTGAAAAGGTTGCTCTGGGACTAAAAATGCTGCAAAATAAGTAAACCAAATAGAATTCCCCAGGCAAAGCTGCGGTTGTATCCGATGCAAATCTGATTTAAATCCCCATTCATTTCAACTGGCCTGTTCAAAGTAGGGCTCATACTGGATGCAACCACATTGGATGCTACCATAAAGCTGCTGGTAAAAAGATCTGGTGAAAGCTTCTGAAGAATGATATTTGGACTCTCTGAAGATTTTGACCAGAGCATTGACATGTGTCTCCAGAGAAGTGCTGTCCTGTGTTGTAGGAATTGCTCCTGCAGAATGATGGGCGGGGGGCTTTTTTGATATGCCAAGCGGTGACCACATTAAAAATAAAAAATAAATGCTGGTTAATGTTGAGGCTGTCCTGTTTCCATCCTGGCTCATTGTGTGCGTGTGCGCTTGCACTCGACAGGTTGCTAGGATACTGGAGGTCTCTGAAGAGATGAAGAGGATTATGGGAGTGAAGTCAGGCCTGGAACTTATTACCTTGCCATATGGACACCAACTGCGCCTTGACATAATTGAAAGGTAAACGTTGTTATAGTTACCTTCCCTTTTTTCCCCTCCTCAGACAGTTCACTTAACATATTAGGGCTGCCAAACAAATCTCTGGGATTCATTTTAGGTCCCCATGCAAAACCATTTCATTCAATTCAGCCTTCCGCTCGCTATTTATTTTTACAATAAGCATTCACAGTTTGTATAGATTATTAATAGAGTGCATTACCAGGGAAAAGGCTACTATACCTATGACAGCAGGAAGGATAAGTGGGAGGTAATTTTCTTGGGCAGCTGAGCTACAGAACAGTCTTTTGGAAATAACTGCCCAAGAGAGTATTAGGATATATTTGCTTTCAAAGCTGCAGTTTGTAATATGTTTATGTGGATGCAAATTTCATGGACATCAGAGAGCCTTGAAAGATGTTTATGATTGGGTGGTACAAGAGTTATTCTTTTGAGAAAAAGCGGCGCTCAGTGGAAGGACACAATGATGGTTTCAGCTCAGTAGCAATCATGCCCACTTAAATGAATCGGGTAACTGGTAAGGAAGAGAGATTGCTTTCCAAAGACACTGGGCAGGTATTGTCAGTCAGAGTAGACCATAAGATGGACAGAGCAGTTGCAACAAGCCAGTTTCCTATATTCCTGTGTAAACAGTCATGTTTTTGTGGAGTGTGTCCCAGACTTCTCTGGTTAAAGCAGTCTTGGGAACTGTGGCTGGGAAGCAATTCTGGCAGAAGCCAAGAAGCACTTTGATTCTGCTCCTACTTACTAAAGAGTTGAATCACTTCCAAATAGAGAGGGAATGATTCCGTCCTTAAATAATATGGAAGATAAATATGTAAACCACTCAGGGACATTATTATATTGAGCAATATATGAATTTTATGAATACATATATAAATGAATAACACACCCTTGTTAAGCAGCAAATAATCCTGAAAGAATGTGTTGTGGCCTGAAAAAATCTAACTCTTTATGTTCCACATGCGTCTCACACAGATAATCCCAGCAATCTAAGAGCAAAATGTATTCTCAGCTTCCTGAAAACCTCCTCTGGGGCTTACAGAGTAATAACTGTCTGCGCTGAAACCCACTAGGACTCCCCTCTCACCCCCACCCCAAAAGGCTGCCTGCAGTAGTTCTGGAGGTTTTAGTTAACCTTGTGGTTGTCATGGTTTCCTGCTCCCGAGTCCTGTTGCAGGAAAAAGTCTGACCGGCTGTTCTTGCTTTTGCCAACCAATGAGCTGACCTGGACTATTGTTACAGATATCTTTAAATTGCTGTACCAGTTCTTGGCAGCTCTGCTCCCAGGCCCTTCCAACAGATCTGAGATTCTTTTGTGGGCTTGCCATTCCTGGACACATGCACGACCATTTCCTCTTCTCCTTTCTTCCTCCTCTAAAGAGTGGGCAGCAGTGAGGTGAGGATTGTCAAAACAGTGATTGGGTATCCCAAGTATTTGCTCTAAGTTTCTTCTCACACTCAGCTTGGGGCTTGCTTAAATTGCTTCTTCCGTCCCAAGATGGAAACTCTGCAAATAAGATTGATGACAGGCTGTTTCCTACTCGGAAATGCTGAACTCCTGTACGTCAGTGATCCCATGTGAGCCTTCTAAATATAAGGGATTTGTCTTAAGTGTAGGGGGTTGTCACACATGGCAGCCTTCATCTTGGTTTTAGGACATTCTTGGTAGCGTCCAAAGCAGCCAGGACCACCATGTGGAGACACTGGAGAGGAGCTACCAAAACACTGCAAGAACACTTGCAGCCGATGCATATGAATGTTTTACAACAGCAATATTGGATCACAGTTCTATTTACTTTTTCACCACCTTGCTTTCCTCTTTCTAACTTAGTTTCCTCTTACTAAAAGCTGCTCCCAATTAAATCAGATCAGATCTCTACTTTTTAGTGCAGAACACTGGATCCTGGTTTGGTCATACATGGACTAGGCCCACTGAAATCAAAGCAAGCCCCTTATGCTACACTGACTTCAAGTATGATTAAGTGGGCACTGAGCAGGGTTCTGCTTGACAAAGGGGGCCAGGGAGACAATCCTCAACATTCCTTTTTCCCGCTGCAACCCCTGTGCCTTCTGAAGCTGTCCTGGAGGACCTGGAGCGGCCTAGGAAGTATGAGTTGTATATAGGATTCTGAAAAGGGAAGGAGATAATGGTGGGCCTGCATTTGATCTTTCTGTGCCTCGGGGGGCAGGTTGCCATCTTAGAAGTGCATCTGAGAAGATGCTTGCTCTGATAGAAGTGTATTATTTAAAGGCAAAGAAAGAGCACTGTTTTCTACAGATTTGTATGTAAATTTGCTGATTCTTTGGTCAATTGCTATATGTTCTTGTGGGGTTGATTTCCTTAATTAGCCCTTACAATGTGATATCAGCAGACAAGAAAATTGTGTGTTTTCAGCAGTCTTGTTATCAAATTGCTAATGGCGACAATGTGATGTCATTTCACTTTTGCCAAATGCTTCACTTAGATTTAGTCCCATACAGAGTGTGGCATCTCATGGCCCTGTTGATAGCATGTCCTTGATGGTCTCCAATTTGCTTTCACCTTCAGACACAATACAATGGCAATAGGAATAGCCGTGGATCTCCTTGGCTGCACGGGAAACTTAGAAGAGCGAGTTGCAACACTAAACAGGATAATCCAGGTTGCCGTAGAACTCAAAGACTCCATGGGGGACTTGTATGCCTTCTCCGCTATAATGAAAGCCCTTGAGATGCCTCAGGTAAAAGGAAATCCATATATTATGTGATTCCGTGTAATCCATTGTGTTCTAAAAAGGCCCAACAGTATATTAATACAGGCAGTCTCCAGGTTACAAACGAGTTCTGTTCCTGAGAAAATATAAATGTGTCTTTAAGTTGAATTTGTATGTGAGTCAGATCATGTTTAGTTGACCCTCTGTATTTGTAGGATTAAGGCACAGAACTCCTGTGAAAGTGAAAAAACCATGAATATCTCTACCCACCTCCTAAAGAGGAACTTTGCAGCAAGGACATGCTGGAGAGGTTTCCCTCTCGATGGGCAGGGCAGGAAGGCACGCTTTGGAGGCCTTCCCTCTCTCACCTCTTGCTTCCTTTCTCTCTGTGGTGATGACTATTTCCACAGTAATTAAAACATTAATAGGCTTTATGGCAGTTCATTTGCAGGTAGGACTTGCTCATGCCCCCTCTACTTGGGGACTGCCTATACATAAATTAAAATGGACCTGTTTGAAAAGGGCGAATAACTTTATAATATTTCATTCATAAACACACACAACATTAGGTGCACCAACCATTCAATTGGGATGTCATTTACAGGATAGTGTACAATAAATACTGAAACACACACACTGAAAGTACATCAATAAATGGTACTTAAGGCAACAGAGCCAATCCAAAAGTACATGATGTTACCATATAGCAACTTTAAAAAGTCAGAATGAATAAAAAGACCTTTATCATAAGGCAAAAGGACTTGGCATTAGGCGAGTCTCTCTGGGAATAGCATTCCACTGGTGGGGTGCCACACCAGAGAAGGCCCTTTCTTTAGTCCTAAAATGAGCCTGAGTGTGATCAAAATAGCTCATAGATGTTTCAGATCAAGGAGAGTGAGACAGGAGACAGGATTCATGCAGGAATGGCTTCCACCCTAAAACACAAGCTTTGGCGTTCCAAGTCCAGGACATGGAACACTTCCCTGCCTAGCTTATTCAACTGAGTAGAAGTTCTCATCAAGTGATTCCCCTTGTCCTCTTGGGAGGGAGGAAAAGAGCAGATGGTAGAGAATACCAGAAGCACATCCTTGCTTAGTTTTCATGAGCAAAGATCTCCTTTCGCACCATTCCCTTGGCGGTTTATTAATTAATTAATTAATTAAATAAAACATTTTTATGCCGCCCCATTCGCCGAAGCCTCGGGGCGGCTTACAACAGTTGTTGTTGGAATGGAGTGGAATGGTGGAAGGCTCTGAAGGCAGATTCTCTCTCATTCCTGTGAAAGATGTAGCTCAGTCTCCAGCCTGTTTGCAGGCCTCTTTCTTTGGAACTGGCTGTAATGAATAGTGCATTGACTATTTGTTTGTCATACCTCTCCCAGTTTCCTTCCAGATGTTGGAACTACAATTGCTGTCATGCAAATTGTATTCCTACAGATCTGGGGAACAGCAAGTTGGGGAAGGCTGTCCAATGGCAAACTTTTCACACATAACTGCTGCTGCTCTTTGGGGCTACCAACTGCCCACCTGCAAAAGCAGTGGGAAGGCAAAGGACAACAGTCCTTCCCTCTCTAGCGGAGACGCCCAGTGTGGTGCGAATGTCTTGCTTTCCTAGGGAACCACAGCACCCAACTTCATATGAGAGATCCTGAGTTGCACCATGTCCTGTGAGATAATCCTGTAGCTCTTTGTGGGGTAGGAATGCTTAATAGCTTAGCCGTTCCTCCTCCTCAGGTTGCAAGACTGGAGCAAACATGGACCACTCTGAGGCACTGCTACACACAGACAGCCATTCTGTATGAGAAGCAGCTGAAGCCATTCAGCAAAGCCTTACATGAAGGACGAGGTGAGTGCACGGGCAGACAGCTGTGCCACACTTTTCATCATCGGCAAGGGACCCTAACTGAGTCTTCAATCTTAATTTCCTTAATGGAGAGTACGGAAGCAAGTCAAGCCTGCTTCTGTGATAGCAGTAAGCAGAATCCATTAGGCTTAACCACATCCTGCCTGGCTCATGGTCCGTGGACTGTGCAGAAGGGAGAGGGCATTCCTCTGTGGTGAGGGATATGGACACATTTGCGCACACATGCGCACGTTTAAAGAAAAGGACCATAGGTGGAGCCATTTTGCAGGAGTAGTGAATCATTCCCATTGTAGGACCATCCTAATTTCCCCATTCTGTTGAAAAACCTGGGCAAATTAAGGTATGGAAGAGTTGCAGGTTTGTAGAAGACCTTATAGCAAGTTCATTTTTTCCCACTTGCCAAAAGAAGGGCATAAGCCATGCTTATGAAAACGAAATGGAACCAAGCCAAGGAATTTTAGTGATGCCAGCTCCCAATTCCCCCTTACCAATTGATGGTAGTGTCACTGTATGGGATAGCCAAGCAAACTCTCACCAAAATCCTGCACGTTGTGTAAGGGAGACTTGTTCCACTAGCCTGGCCCAGTAAAGCAGTAAAGGTGCAAAACATAAGCTCTTTTTGTTTCCCCGTTTTCAGAGACTACATGCATTCCACAAAACGTTGTCACTGTGCCCTTGCTGATGCCTCTGATTACCCTGCTGGAACGCCAGGCTGTTGTGTTTGATGGGATGGATGTTTGGGAGAACACAGACCAAAGCTGTGAAATCATGCTGAAACATTTGGGAACTGCCCGTTTGATCGCACAAAATGCCAGCCTGTACTCCACAAATGCAGAAAGGATACTATCAGGTAAGAGGCAAAAGCACCCAGCTGTAAGGGTTATTTTGCTCTTGATTACACAGAAGGCAAGCACTGGGGAGGAGAATCCTGTCCTAATTAACAGGGACACTTTTGGGGGGCTTTGCTTTGCATAGGGATGCCGAAGGATGAATGTATACAGGAGATGCACCTTTGCTGCCAGCTTGGGTCAGGCCGGCCCTATTCATCTTTCTCTTCTGCTTCTGCTCTCCTCCTCCTCATTTTCATTTCTATACTGCTCCATCGCTGAAACTCTCTGTATTATCAGAGGGCTTGCTGAAGCCTTCACAGCGTACAATAAGGGGCATGCCTGCCTTTTCTTTGTAGACCAGGGACCCATCTATGAATATCTATCCATCTTGGCCCCTTGGGGTTCAGGGAGGAAGCTCTGGCTATCCACTCCAGACTGCATTCTCAAAGTGATTATGGTCTTGTGTGAGGAGCATCTTTCGGGATGTTGCTGTATGGGACCATGATCCCCTTGACTCCCTAGAAGAAGATCTTACTATCTCAGGAATTTTAATTTCAGTCTTATTTTAAATCTGGTACTGGATTTTAAATGTTTGTGCTGCTGCTAGTTCTTAACTAGTTTTTGCTATATTGTTGTTTTAACCATTTAAATTTTATATTTTATGTTGTTTTGAATTATTGTAAGCCATCAAAAGAGCTTCAGCTATTAGATGGCATGAAAATTTAATAAATAAATAAAAACACACATACTGAAAGGACAACAGTGGCTGCAACTGATGGTGGAATTAGGTGAGACCAAACATCCTTTACATAGCTGTATTTCTTACATAACCACTCTTCACAGAGGAATTATCAAGTTTTGGCATTGGCCCTGCTGCAGTGGACGGTCGAGTCCAGTGCCATTTTAGACTATTGCTGACAGTTGTCTTTCATGATGAAAAGGCTTTTTCATAGCAGCAATTGTAAATTTACTGTTTCCTTCATCAGATTTTCAACCAGATGATGAGATGAATGAGATCTTCAAAACGGAATTCCAAATGAGACTGCTCTGGGGCAGCAAAGGAGCACAGGTCAACCAAAGTGAAAGATATGAGAAATTCAACCAGATCTTAACTGCTCTTTCCCGAAAATTAGAACCCCCTCTAACAAAGCAGCCAGAACAGTAAAGTACCTAATGGATTCACAAATGCAATTAATTCCAAGTCATTACTTAACTAAGAGAAAACAAACTGCAAAATAAGGCTGTGCCAAATGTTTGCCATTTTTTTCAGGGCAAGAAGGCTTTGGAGAACTGTAACGGTGTTTTCTGAACAAAATACTTTTTGAGGAATGTTTGTTGCCACTTCATTTCCTGTTCTGCTGCTGGTTTGGCATGTTTTTTAAAATTGTGCTTTCTTCATGGGAATATCAGTGCTGGACAATAAGGATCTTATCATGAATATGGCCACATGCCTACACAGGCCATTTAGAATGAAAGCAGTGCTTCCTGTATCAAGATCATCCCCCTCCTCAATAGACAAGCATCTTTATTCCATTTCAAAGCAATCCCTGAAGAGGTGGGACTGCTGTTGCTACTGCCAAAAAAAATTCACAAGCAGCCTTTTTCTTTTCTGAGCTGTCAAAGTCTTGACACCCACAGAGACATTGGGATTTGTAAATTGTACTATGTGCATTTATTTATGATTACCTAATAATAAGAATGACTACTGAGATATAAAGTAATCCTTATTTATTGGTTTTGTTACTTTCCATGATCTTTCAGTAAATGATGACATTGTCCATTACATAAAATATTGTAGACATTGGGGGGTGGGGTTAATTATTTTTAGCCTTGTATCCATTAATGTTATTAACAAACTGTAAATATGAGTAAAGGTGAAAGAATGGCTTTAGAAAAAGGTATCAGTTGTATGATATCAATTAAATGGGTCTGGAGAATTGTACATAAAGCTGTGAATTAAAGCATGAACTATCCTTGAAATATTCTATTTTATTGCTTCAAAACGTAAGAAAGAACTCATTTGGGGACTCAAGATGTTTAAGCCTGAATTGTTCAACATTCCACTGAGTTTTGTGGTGTTGTTATTCTGTGCATCTTCTGTTGATTAGATATAAAACCTTCACTTTATCTTCAACTTCCTCTACATGAACAAGGGCAAGATTTTTTTAAAAAGCATGCGACATACACTAATCAGCTCCCACTTGCAATGATGTCAGTGTTAGTCCCCTACAACATGTTTTTAAATCACAACTGTTAATCATCACTAACTGTACTTTTTGCATTTCAGTTCCTTCTGGCAGCAGAGTTTACTTCTCCTTCAACCCCCACAGCACCACTATAAATCTGCCCATCTGAGGCTCACTCCATGAATCTGACAAAGTGGATATCGTCCATGAAACATTATGTCAGAATAAGCATGCTACTCTTTGAGGTTCCTCAATAGCCTCTGTAGCTCAAATTCTTCAACTACAGGGGCTATGTCCAGCACTGGAGGTAAAATCTGTTTTTCCTGTACTGTACCCTTAGCAATGAGAAAATCTGCTCCCATGATAGGATTATTACACTCCTGCCAAAACTTCTGCATACGTTGTATTCATGTTTAAACAGGTACCTAAGCCCACCTGTTCTTGTGCCTGCAACAGAAGACAACAAAGAAATCATCAAAGCCATGAAAAGGTTGTTTAATTCCATGAAAATATTCTCAAGAGAGCCACTATTTTTAACAAAGCATTTAAACATTTAAAAATCAACACGTGCACAAAAGATTTAAAAGTTTTAAGACTCGGACAATTCATCATGTTCAATATTTCAGAATAATGATTTTAGCTAACTGTGCAAGTACAAAGATCTTTTTCCTCCCCTTATATTTAATAACCCTCATAAAGGCTGTATTATACCACAGAAAGGAAAACTTCTCCTGAGGAAATAAATCCTGTTCCTAGAAAAACAGTAGCGTTTAAGAAATATTAGTCCGTTACCAGAAGCCCAAGAGGTTGTTAGGCAAAATCCACAGGGTTTTTTGCCGAAATATTGAAAATAGTTTGTCTTTAGATTTAACTTTGAAATAATAATAAAAAACCAGTAGGTTGTTCTTTTAAAAAAACAACAACAACCAAGGCTATTCCATGTAGATTTGTCAGTAATGAGTAAGGTCACATTATATAAATAACCCTGTTTACAATATCCAAAAAATCTATCTTTAGTGTTTAACCACCTCCAATGTAAATACACTATGTCATCTGTGTAATAGTGGCACACTTAATAATAAAAGGAAGAAAACTTCCACACAATAGTCACACAGATTTAGTTTTACTGGTAGTACAGTTGCTAATAACACTGAAAAAAATTCCTAAAGGATTCCAGCACTGCTGTGTCCAAATATTGCTTCAACCCTCATCCCTAGAAAAGGAGACTGTTTTAAATATTACCACAAACAGCAACAAGTTGGTTTAATGATGCTTAACCGATTTCTCCCTCCCTCCCCCCTTCCTCCTATCCCCCTTACTCTAAGATTACCCTAATTAGTTTAGATGTTGGATGATTTCATTAACAGAATCCACAACTGGCAGACAAAACAATGTGAGCAATATGGGGTGCTGCAGACAACTATATTTACATGTATAAACATTTCCAAATCTTGATGTTTACAAGTAAAAGTGCACATAGGTCATTACAAAGTATCACTCCAATTTTCAACTGGTCCTTACAATGAAGCATCACTTGGAAACAGACTAGCACTGCAGTTAATTAAAAATTGGAGTCTTCCCCCACCCTCTGCTAAAACAATAAAAAGACAAGGAGAAAAAAAGCATCCACAAACATCCTATTAAAAACATGAGGCATAAAATGAAAAACCGATACAAGTATTTTGCTTTCAATTCATAAAGTTTACAATGCACCATGTATCATGATATGGCAGAGCTCTAGAAAACCTCTACCATGGCTACCAGCAGCTGCAGTATTGTAGAAAGATTCAGGAGGTCATATGGAACTGAAACCCAAAGCCCTTTGTGGGATACTGACGTGGTAGTTGGCAATCAACAGATTTAGGCACTCAAGAGTTTAAGGCAGCATCTGGAATGGCAAGCACTTGACTTCTGAAAACAGTCATTTGTCTTGTAGCTGAAAATCTGTGCTGTTATCCTAGGTGTTCAGTGCTCATGAGAAGTTATCGAGGTGCTGAAGATGGTGCAGTTTCCTAGTGCTGAGATGTCTTTCTTTCCCCAAATTAAAATGAATGTTAAGTTATAACTTCGAAGAACTGGAATGTAATGATGGTCGCAATGAAGGAAAAAAAAGTTATAGCAGCATAAACGGTACTGAAATAAAAACATTAGTGCTTAAGAGATACATAAAGTGGATTTGCTACAAATGCAGATGAGGAGGAAGAGTTACGGAGATACAGAACATTAGGCAGGCATGCCCGACACATACCTAGACATGCAGGAGAAGGTTAGGGCGAGCATGGAGGTGGCACAGGCAGACAATGGCAAGATGTTGACTGAATGCCAGTTTGAAATGGGCATGGAGCATAAGACAGCTGAAAACAGCCGATATACAGTGCAACTGGTGAACAGGGAGTAGAATTGTTCAGAACTTAAGGAAAGAATGCAATTTCAGATTGGATGGTTTGGTTCTGTTGGAATGGAACTTTAGTTTACCACAACAACTTTGAACACACAGAAAAATGCTAACATTGTTAGTGAGAAATGTATGCCTACATGCCTTCATGCAACTGGCTTTCCCCCATCTTGCTGGGCCTAACACCCTCCCCACAAAAAACAGCTGCATGTAACCTCCTTCAACATCTCGCCCATTTTCTCAGAAACCCGCTTCAGGAACCTGCAGTCCAAGAGGAAAAAAGAGAAGAACAGAATTACCAGAGGCCTCAAAAAGGGAGAAGCGCACTTATCAAAAAATGCAGATCAAATAGCTAGGGAATAAATCCTGCTATGCACAGAGTTTTTTCAAGCTTTCACCACACCACATTTTCCAGACAGCCGTTCATTTAGTAGCAAATCAGTGCAATTTTGCTTCCAGGTTCTTCCTCCTGCCCAATAAAAATGTACAGATTCTAGCAAAAGTAGCCACATTTAGCAATTTCCTCCCACAGATGTGACACCTTGACCAGTGAGCTGCTCCAGGTACAGGTGCTTCAGCATGTCCACAGGGAGCCTCTAGCTCACAAAAGGTTACTCATTTGTTTTAATGGAACTGATCTGCACCCAGTCTTTTGTGTATGCAAATCTGCTCCATCTACTGGAATAAGTGGGGAGGTACATGATTGAGAGAGACTTATGTGCACAAAGCATCATAATCCAACATTTTCTGCACCTTTGGAAGACGCATTTTCCAGGACAACTTTTTGGGGAGTGTTGGTACAAGAGAAGGGGGCTCAGCTGCATTTTAGCAAAAGAATAATCTTGACGACAGTTCCAAGAAATAGATAAAAAGGGCAGGTCACCACACTGTAAGCCTGTTGAATCCTCTACAATCAGCTGTGCACTTTTCTTCGATCACCTTCTGCATTTATTATTTCTGTGAGCAAAAAAGTGCAGATCTGATTTCCAAAGTAAAAGCTGCAAAAATATGTACAGAAAAAGGATGTTTGCAAACATTTCCTGCAATGCACACAGGCAATGGCTTGCATGCTTGCAGCACAAGGTTCTTTGTTTTCTGAACTAGATCTCATTGCATTTAATGGCAAGCTGCCCGTTACAATTATAAGAGGTACTTCCATTTAGAAGACTGATCTGCTTGCTCACTTCTCTGGAATAGGGCTAGTTTCAGTTACCTGAGTTCAGTTATTACTTGGACATTGGAACAGGTTCTCCTCTGGGGAAGGACACTAAATATGACAAAACTACACATTCTAAAAACAACAACATCATTTAAACTGTTTCCAAGCAAACAGAAGGCTTTACAGAAATTAAAATTAAGAAAATCAGTAAAATATGGTGGCTCCACCATTGATTGTAAAGAAAATACTTAAAGTTCTCAACCAGATAGGGAAAGAAGTCAGACATGGCACTGGTCAAAGCAGCAGAACAAACTAATTGGAACGAGGATGTTCTTCCAGTTTCAGTACTGACATCTCAGGGTTGGCTCACACGGTGAATGACAGATTGTAGGGTCTTTAAATGTTCTAACACTTTCCCGTCCAATTGTACGCTTCAGTATTCATTAATGAATGTTCCCTGGTATGCTGATGGACTGGAGGTTAGATATAAGTTACTGCACCTTTACTATTCTTCTCTAGAGTTACATCTATGTAGGAAGTTGGCACATATCCTTCATCTCCATTCTGTCTCCGAGCTCTTGTCCATCCATCCCCTTTATCTTCTTCTATAATGTACAGAACCTCACCCTCTTTCATTGCCAGGGTACCTTCATTGGGACCTAGGAAAAAATGAGTACACAAAAAATGCTCACAGCTCTGGCAGGTTTTAAAGCAAGTTCTCTTCCTCAGCACAAGCACACCCTTTCCATTCCCAGGAGAAAACGTCAATTCTGTGCAATGGAACATATTTTCCTAATGAAGGCCAGGAAAAAAAATCTGCTCTCTTGTAATAAAGTGGAATGTGTGCCAATGACTGTTTTATTAATCTAACATATTTGTTTTGTTACAGCGCAAAAGCATTATTCTGCCACTAAACACAAATGGTTTATGGCATGATTTCCCAGAGCCTATGCTAGAATAGGCCATATGCATGCAGGGATGTTTAGGTGAATATACAAGCACACATATACATGCCCTCTACATATAGCCACCTTAAGTTAGCCTTACCATCAAATGGATAGATAGCTTTGCAGTGTCCGATAGCTGGCAAAGGGTCATCGTCTTCAAACTCATCATCAAATTCATTATGGGGGCCATGTTGCTGTGGCGGGCTTCGAACTTCCTGGTTTGCATCGTCAGTGTAGCTCCCCTCTGGGCTGTAATGCAACAATTAAAACTTCTATACTCCTCAAATTAGAAATCTCAAAAATTTTCCATGCATTAAAAGAATGCCAGAACATTTGCAAACCATGATTCAGATTTCGTATTTGTCAAGATGGCAAATCCTAGTTCAATAATGTCCTGAAAAATACAGGTACAGGCTGAACTGTTAGGCAGCTCGGATATAGGCAAGCCTGCCATTTGAGAACTCTGCCTAGCACATCAAAATAACCAGAACATTAAAATGTTCCTCTAAATGCATCCTGTCTACTAAAATAGGACCACATCACTGCTGTCACTTCCTCTTCTGCTGTCCCCTTCAACCATGTGTGGCTGTGACAGCAAACTGTATGCGTGCTTGCTCATGCCCCCGAGTCAAGAAATTCCAATCTTCAAAGTTTGCTTCGCTAACATGTAAGTATGTATGTTCAGGGTATATTCCCTATGCACTGCCTTTAAAAAGGTTTCAATTTTCCAGTGCAGTTGCCTGAATAAGCCTGGACCTTTGCAAGCCTACATAATGAAGAGATACGCTTTGTTCCTTAATTAGTAGCAAAGCAGAGCAAGATACCAGGCTGAGCAGGGGCATGGAAAGCTCACTGAAGTTGGCCAAAAGTACTTGCAAGTACTTTTGAAGGGACATTAGCAGGTAGACCCTTGCACTCCCACTCATCTCCTGAATTTGTCAACACCAACCATAATTTGTTTTAGACTCAGTATGTATTCCTTCCAAGGCTAGCACTAACCAGAGCTGATATTTAATTTTGGATAACTAATATATAGATATTGCTCTTCAATGTTACATCACTGTTGCTTCAATATGATTGTTGTTGACATCATGATCATGATCATCCTCATCAATTTTATTTCTATGCCACCCAACAGCTATAGCTGTCTGGGTAGATTAGAGTATCATATAAAATACATTTTGAACTGGCAATCTATAGATTAATTAATCCATGATTTGCCATAGGGCATGCCAGGCATATTCCTCAGCCAGTTGGAATGTTCAGCCTAATTAACCCACCACAGTATGTGGCTGTAACCTGCAAACAGCTCCAATATGTAACAACAATCAAGTAAGAAATACAATGCTCTTAGTAAACAATATACAACGTTAAAACCTACACATATGCAAACACAGGATGCAGAAAGTTCAGAAAAAGACAGGGAAAAGGGGAGAAGAGTTGAGAAACATTAGACATTTCATTTTCCCCCTCCAAATACTGGGCACATATTGTCTCTGGATATTCTGATATACCTTATGGCAAGTGTTTGTAGATTTCCTACAAATCTTAGTTGAGGGAAAGGCAGCAAAAGAGAAAATGGAAAGAGCTGACTTCTTAAAAGAGGACGTCCTTAGTTATCTTGGAATTGTTGTAGAGCACAAGCTGAATATGAGTCAAAAATGTGATGTGGCTGCAAAAAGGCCAAATTCTATTTTAGGCTGCATTAATAGAACTATCACTTCCAAATCATGTGAAGTACTACTTCCCCTTTACTCAGCACTGTTTAGGCCTCATCTGGAGTACTGTGTCCAGTTCTGGGCACCACAGTTTAAGAAGGATGCAAACAAACTGGAAAGGTTTCAGAGGAGGGCAACAAGGATGATCCAGGGACTGGGAACAACGCCCTATGAGGAGAGACTGAAAGAACTGGGTATGTTTAATCTCAAGAAGGAAAGACCGAGGGGAGATATGATAGCACTCTATAAGTTCTTGAAAGGCTATCACATAGGAGGAGGACAGGATCTCTTCTTGATCATCACAGAGTCCAGGACATTCAAGCTCATTAAGCCAGATTCTGCCAAGTATCAGGAAAAACGTCCTGACTGTTACAGCAGTATGACAAATTAACCAATGACCTAGGAAGGTTGTGGGCTGTCCCACACTCAGGGCATTCATGATGCAACTGGGCAGCCATCTGAGAGGGATGGTTTAAGATGGGATCTTGCACTGAGCAGGGGTCTGGACCCGATGGTCCTCTGGCCCCTTCCAACTCTACTATTCTATGATCCGAAATGCCATGCTTTTTCACTAACAACCTAAATATGCTTCATTCAATGAAGTACTTCTGACTGCAGTAGTTACTGTGAAGCAAATTTAAAACTATGAACAGACAGTTGGATAGCCATCTGTCAGCAATGCTTTGACTTGGAATCCCACATTGAGCAGGGCTCCAATGGCCTCTTGGGCCTCTTCCAACTCTGCTATTCTATGATCCCAAGGTGGAAATGTGAGGTCAGGACACAGAAAGAGATGAAAGGAGGTTTTTAGAGATTCCAGGGGGACAGAGGAAAGCTTGCTGATCATTTAGATGACAGAGGAGACACAGGAACTATGGTATGAGAAAATGACAATATAAACCCAGGGAATTTCATTTAAAATTTTTGATACCTCTCTCTTCCTTGGGTTACAAGATGGTTGATGTCACTGCTGTGTCTTCTGTCTCCTCTTGCTGCTACTTTACCTTCAACTTCAGAAAGCCAGGCCTAGACAGAGAGGGGGAGAAAGGCAGTCCATTTGGTACCAGTACAAAACAAGTGTTTAGTACAAAGTCCATTTAACTCACCAGATAGCCACAGTAATCTGAAACAACCCAATCCTCAAAACGGCCAGACAAAAGAAATGCCTACCTTGACAGATTTTCAAATACAGTCCAATTAAAAAGTTTTCTGGGAACTGCTACCAAATTCACTGCAAGTTCCAATGTTAGCATTATATACAAAGCCTTTCAGTTTATCGTAAGCCCAGTTCATTTTGAAAGTTGTAGTTATCCAGTATATTCTCCTATGTGCACCATTTAGCAATTAAACTATCTTGCCATAGATGATATTACAACATGGAATTCATCACATTTTCAAACTCATGTTCTTTCAACTATTTTATTCTGCATTCCTGCAATAGGTAATTTGGGTACCCTACAAATGTTTTAGACCACAATACCCATCAGCCCCAGCCAGCATGAAGAATGGTCAGGAACTACATGAGTTGCAGCTCAAAATGTCTGGAGGGCATTAAGTTGTTTACTTCTGGTATACAAACAGCTGTATACTCCTTTCTTCAGTACAGTCCCTGAAGTTCTGTAAGACTTGAAATGTTCTGTATGATTTTCACATACAACTCCTCTTGATCTAGATCAGGCACTCAGGCCCTGCTGGCTAAAATGTAGAGGCCATTGCAAATTGAATGTAAGTGCAGTAGCGTCATCCTATCCAGATTCATATGAATTCCCTTCTGGAGTTTTGGGAGATGACTGGTCTAAGATGCTTTCAAAACGTGTAGTAGGCCTTTCTCAAATACCAGCCAATGGATATTTTAACAGTTGCTTACCTCATTCTTGTGAATTTCCATTCGGAGACGGTCCATGTTGCTCATCGTCTCAGCCAATTTCGGCTGAAGACTGCTTGGATCACCCATTTGTGGATTTTTCTCATAGACATCTTTCATTTTGATGAGTGCATCTCTATAGGAGAAATGTAAAATGAATTATTAGAAACATGGTTTATTTAAATGTTGAATTTGTTAAATGTCTCATAAGTAAATGTATTTAAGTATGTCACAATCATAATGCTATGAAGAGAATCACAAAAACAATATAAAATTAATAAATGCACAAATACAGCATAAAATATAATATCAGGTACAAGAAATAGAAATGCATTGTCGAGATTAGCATAATAAAACAAAAATACAAGAAAATATGTCAAAATCAAGAAGGTTTTAGTCTGGCACCAAAAACACAAAACATACAAGTTTCCCTTGAAAGAGCATCCCAGAACTAAGACACCATTGCCAAAAATGCTTCTCTTTTGTCACCACTCTCCAAGACTCAGAATGAAGAAGGGGGGCTTCTTAAAGTATGCAAGGTGCTCCATCAGGAACTGAAATTCGAAGCCAAGGAGAGCTTATACGTCAAAATCAGCACTCTGAACTGGGCCCAGAAATGAATCAGTTATTAGTGAAGGCAAGAGAGGACTGGCATAATACCATAATCAGACTTGGTGCCAGTTATAATTCTTCCAGCCATTTTTTGCAGTAGCTGAAATTTCCAGATCACCTTCAAAGGCAGCCTCACATACGGAGCATTACAATAATCCAAATGGGAGGTTCCAAGGCCTGAATCACTGCAGCTAGGATTTTCACCTTCAGCTAGGGTTTTATCTGGGATACCAATCAAAGCTGGTAAAAGGCACTTCAAGCTACTAGGCTACCCGAGCTTCTATAACAGTAATAGGTCCAGAGGCACCCACAAGTTATGCACCTGTGTGTGTAGGACAAATACCATCCACTCATCTGGTCTGGGAGGTCAACCACTAACAGTTTTCTAATGCAAGAGTTAAAAAATAATTATTGCAAGGGAAAACGAAGTCTCAACATTCTTTTTTTTACCATCTCCAGAGAGAGAGGATGTGAGCTCAGAAAAGGGAGAACTTGAGATAATGAACTATGTTGCTAATACAGAGGAGACAGACTGACAAAAAATTGAGAAAAGTCATGAGGAACACTGACAAATCTAAAGACAGATGGATGTTGGAGGCAGAATAGTCCTAGAATTAGGGAAGTCCAAGAAAGAGGAGGGTATGGTCAAGAAACCTAAAAACAAAAGAGCAGCATTACTTTTGATCAGTTTCCTTCTGTAGTTCTCTGTTAAGTTCATCAATCCGCTGCTGCAGTTTCTTACGCCTTTGCTCTGGTGGCAGGTGGCTGAAATCTTCTTGTACAGGACCCTGAAACCAAATGAAATACAACTTCAAAAGAGGCAACTATCCTATTCTTATTTCTACTGGCAGTGCACATAAAACTAAAAGCTCTTCCTCTTGGAATGTCACAGCAGGAAGAACCTTTTCCTTCCACTCAACAATGCTGTATACCATGGCTCCAGAAGAACAGGTATCTCATAATGAATCACTGCCTTGATCACCATGGCTCAATCTGGGAGTTCCACTATACTGTAGATCAAAAGCCACCTGGCCCTTTTTGCAGCCCTGACAGTTTGCTGTGGCAATTTTTCTTAAAACAAGGTGCACTTGTTTAAAGATAAATCATTGCTTTTCCCTACTGCTGCTGCAGCAGGGCATTGAGGTGTCATTCCGAGGGGGGTTCGCTAGGACAATGTGCCCACCTTGTCCAAAATTATAACTGGCTTTGCATATTATATAATCTTGAGGGGAAAGGAAAGTAGTTGGTATCAGATGTGGGACAACAACAACATAACATATCGGAGGAACAAAATCGGAACAGCAAAATTAATTCAGCAAACAAAACTGCAAAACATTTCAAAGGGACGCTCCAAGAACCTAAGTGAAGTAATAGTTGGCTTACCAGCAACGCTGCTGAAAAGCCTCTTAGTATGAAGAACAGTCCATGTTAACATGATCCAACTGCGGAATAGACACACTACATTTGTATGTCATGCTAAATCATGTTTCAGCATGATGTATATGAGTCACAAGTAAGTTTTAGGGTTGTGTGTTTTTCCCTTCCCATTTCTTCCTCTTACACAGGCAGGTTCAGAGCTTGGGAGCTTTTCCTTTCAGTATTATTTAACTGTAGTACTTTTTACCTGATTTCACAAATCATGTTTACCACACACACTGCTCAAACAAGCCAACTTCAAACACAGTTTCAACAGACCGGTATCAGAAACCAGCTAGAGCTAGAAACAACTGCAATGGCAGGTTCAGATAGCACAGGTAACTGTGATTAGCTAAAAGTGGAAGCAAAGGCATGTAAAATCCCCCCCACCATGCCCATGTTTGGGGGAGAGGAATGCTTGGACTTCAGCATATCATGCTAAAACAGGGATAGGCAATGTGTGGTTTCCAAGGTATCTTTGTTTATAAACCCCATGATCCCCCATTGTTCGTTATGCTTGGCTAGGGCTAATGGAAGATGTAGTCCAAACCAGCTGGAGGATTCCTCAAGCTACTGTATGCTAAAACAAATGCAGTGCCACCATCCCCCCAAACACGTCCTTCTGTGCCTACAAAGGCATCCTCCCCCACCCGACTTTTAAAAAAATACCTTTTTTTATCTTGGGTGGTAAACTGTTCTCGCTAGAAACAGAAGTACAGAGCTCCAGCAGACCCATTTTTATTTCCTTTCTCTGGAATGCCTTTTGGCCCCATGGGAAGGGAAGATACAGATTTCACTTTCTATTTATCTTTTATGTCTAGTTATGCCCTAATGGAGCCTTTTTCTGGTGAGCCTCATGGCAATTTCTCAAATCTTGAAATGTTTTCATGGGCCCCAAATGTTGAAAAGCCATGGTTTAATGTGGTGCATGAAGATGGCCATAAAGTTTTAAAATGAACCCTGGAAAAAACAGTCCATATTCACCTCTAGAGTAAACACAACTGAGTCCAATAAAGTGGCTGCTTACCCAAAGAAGCACCTGCCACAATCAATTTGTTAGTCTTTATATGGTGCTACAAGATGGCTGATATTGCAAAGATGCTTTGATCAGCATGGTATCAAAGCTGTAAGTTTTAACAATGCACAACTTCTATCATTTCATCTAAAATGATATGTACCATATATCCTGGCCTGATTTATCATTAGCAAGCATGTGTGCAAAGTAAAGAGAGCAGAATAAGATGAATGATCAAAAATCAGAGCACATGCTTTGAAAATAACAGTTTCTCCAAAATGGTAACCAAGAGGTCACAGACAAATGCAGTGAGCTATCAAGCACTCTCAGAGTTCGCTTAGGACAAGGCACCAAACGGAGAAGTTCTGCATTCAGGAAGGAAAGGGATTTCATATCCTGACAGAGCTAGGGGAACCAAGAAAAGCACCAAATGAAATTGCATTAACAGATCCCAGTAAAAAGCTTGAGAACTAAAGAAAAGATTGGAAGGCTTTGAAGAAAAGACAAAAGAGATAAGTTATCCAGTTATTGGCTGAAACCCAATTAGCTCATCCTGCTGATGGAACTGCTTCCATCAGTAGATCAAGGCAGGGATTCCTTATCCCTCCCTTCAAAATTTGCTCTGGGGAAATTCTTGATTTTGGGAATGTGCAAAGTCTGGCAGCAGGAAGAGAAGAGGAGGTAGTCTTGTGTGAGCAGAAGTTCCTTCAATGGGTTTCTACTCATTGGCGATACTTGGCGATTTCAACGCAAGAGTAGGATCTGATCACTCTGCCTGGGATGGCGTCATTGGAAAAAGTAGAATCAGCAAATGCAACAGCCATGGCCTACTACTACTGAAGACATGTGCAGCTCATGATCTGATCATCACTAATATCATCTTCCACCTGCACACTTGCAAAAAGACGTCCTGGATGCACCCACGCTCCAAGCACTGGCATCTCATTGATTATGTCATCGTGCGGAGGAAAGACAGACAGGACGTAAGGGTGACCAAGGCCATGCCGAGTGCTGACTGTTGGACTGACCACAGACTCATCATTTCCAAATTAAGCCTTCACATCAAGCCTAAGAGATATCCGCAGGGAAACAAAGCTGTGATGAAAAAGATCAATGTCAGTAAACTGAGGAAGCCCAACACAGCAGCTTCACTAGCAGAAGATCTTGACAACCAACTCTCAGAGCTGCAATTAGAGGAAAATGCTGGGAAGGACTGGGAACGCTTCCGGGATATTGTGCACTCTTCTGCACTAAGGGTTCTTGGACCCTCACACAGGAAACAGCAGGACTGGTTTGATGAAAACGATGAAGAGATCAAGGCCTTACTTGCTGAAAAGCACCGCCTTCACCGTGCTCATCAGAATGACCCATTGTCAACTGCTAAGAAAAATGCCTTCAACAATGCTCGCAGGACTGTACAGAGCAAGCTTCGCAAGATGCAGGACTCCTGGTTGAGTGCCAAAGCAGATGAAATCCAGAGGTTTGCTGATAGAAACAATGCCAAATGGTTCTACAAAGCCCTCAGATCCTTGTACGGACCTCAGCCCTCAGGGAGCTCCCCTCTACTGGACTCAGATGGTACAATTCTCATTACTGAGAAGACTCTGATTCTACAGCGTTGGACTGAGCACTTCCAATCCATACTGAACCACCCATCCTCCATCAGTAACAAGGCGATTGACAGAATGCCCCAGGCGGATATCAACCACAGCCTGGACGCCCCACCATCAAAGCTGAAACCCTACAGGCCATCAGCCAGCTGTCCAGCGGCAAGGCTCCAGGATCTGACGCGATCCCAGCGGAAGTCTTTAAGGAAGGTGGTGCAGTGCTTGTCGACAAACTCACTCAGCTGTTCCAGTCCTTCTGGAATCAAAGATCCATTCCTCAGGAACTGAAAGACGTGTCCATCGTACGCCTTTACAAGAGGAAAGGAAATCGACAAGTCTGTGATAATCATAGAGGAGTATCACTGCTCTCCATCGCAGGCAAGATCCTTGCACGTATGTTGCTGAATTGCCTGACTGACCACCTGGAACAGGGTCTACTACCCGAAACACAGTGTGGCTTCCACAAAGAGCATGGCACTGTGGACATGATCTTCGCAGCCCGACAACTCCAAGAGAAGTGTCAAGAGCAGAATCGTGAATTGTAGACCATCTTTGTGGACCTCACCAAGGCCTTTGACACTGTGAGTCACAAAGGTCTGTGATGCATCATGTCAAAGTTTGGGTGCCCTGACACGATTCATCCTGATGGTATATCAGTTCCACAACGGCATGACAGCTCGTGGATGACAGAGAAGCTTCAGAGGCCTTTCCCATCACAAGTGGTGTCAAGCAAGGGTGGGTGCTGGCACCAACCCTGTTCAGCATAATGTTTTCAGCCTTGCTGACAGACGCCTTTCAGAACAACTCCTTGGGAGTCAGCCTGAAATACAGGACCGATGGGAAACTGTTCAACCTGCGAAGACTCCAGGCTGTCACCAAGATAAAGGCCACTGTGCTACGAGTCCTCCTTTTTGCTGACCACTGTGCCCTGAATGCTGGATCAGAGCAGGAAATGCAAGCGAGCATGGACAAATTCGCAGTAGCATGCAACAACTTTGGCCTCCTCATCAACACAGAGAAAACCAAAGTGATGCATCAGCCAGTTCCAAAAGCCCAACAATGAAGGGACAAAAGCTGCAAGCAGTGGATCAATTTACATACCTTGGCAGCACCCTTTCCCGTGCAGTGACAATTGACATCGATGTCAAATGCAGAATCGCCAAGGCAAGCTCTGCATTCGGCAGACTACTGAACTAAGTGTGGGACCGCCATGGAATAAGCCTTGCTACAAAGCTTAAAGTCTACCGAGCAGTAGTGCTAACTACCCTGATGTATGCCAGTGAGACTTGGACAGTATACAGGAGGCACGCTAGGCAACTGAACCACTTCCACATGACTTGCCTCCGCAGACTTTTGAGGATTCGGTGGCAAGACAAGGTGCCAGACACAGAAGTCCTCTCCAGAGCAGGCCTGCCATCAGTTCACACCCTGCTGATGAAAGCCCAGACATGCTGGGCAGGCCATGTTGCAAGGATGCCAGACCACCACATCCCCAAACAGCTCTTCTATGGTGAGCTGTCTCCAAGAAAGCAACCGCACGGGGGACAAAAGAAGTGATACAAAGACACGCTGAAAGCCTCTCTCAGGTCCTTGGTTATCGACACCACCTCCTGAGAGACCCTGGCACAAGACCGATCAACATGGCGCATGCTGATCCACCAAGGCTGTCAAACTTCTGAAGCCAGAAGGACAACCATAGCACAAGAGAAGCGAGCACTCTGTAAAGCCAGAGTTGCAAATGTTGCAACAG